TTTGTTACCTTACTGGAAGTGCTATAAGATTTTAAATTTGTTTTAATTCCTTTCTGAATGTAATAATTTTCAACATGCAAATCCATAATTGTCGTTTATCTGTAATCGTATCTTAATTTCAGAATTGCAATTTGATTATTCGCAAGAATTACTAATGTTCTGTTGATTGATTGAATTAATACCTAAAATACTTTTTGATACGATTACAGATAAACGACAATTTCGCATAAATGAACTGCTTTGCACTGATTATGTTGCTCGTAATATGCGCTTATCAAAGAGTGACTGGTACACCGACAAATGAGACTTTAATTCCAACTGGTATCTAAGAGCTGACTTTGCATGACTGATTACAAACACGCGAAAAACAAAGCGGTGTAGGTATTTACGTAATAAATAATTTCAGAAGATGAAATTCATGAGTCTGGAAATCAGATCGATTATTTAACTCGGTTAGCGACGATGATGGGACCATTCGAAAAGTCATTTATGGACTGTATTAGAGGAACGAATGTCACGAATGAGGCTTTGTTGAATTACAGAAGGTAATTTTCACAAGGCAGTTTGAAATATTATTTCTATTTGATAGTAATTCCGTGAATAGCATATTTTTTTGCATGTATATGAACTATTAAAACGTAAATTCAGCAAATAACTTCACTGAGTAATATTTTGCATTTGCTGAAGGCTGAACACATTTTTCCATAAAGAAGCAACTGATGTTTTGAAAGAACGATTTCAAATTGTTCGCTTTCGTAACGGTGAATTTGAATCGATCAATCAACGAAACGTTTACTTTAAATATATACATTCGCTAGTCACTTCAGATGTCACAGAATTTAGAGGCAAAGATTTTCTCAAAGGAATCTATCTACACAACACGACAAAATTAAAAGTGATATGGTTTGACAAACATTTTTTAAGTGCAAGCTATCATACGTTCCTTTAGATTTTATTCGTTTTTATTTATTTTTGGAACTTTCCGATGCGGACCAAAGTACTCATATCACTGTATAGTCACGTATATATAATTCAGCTTATATGAAAGACAGTTAAAAGGCATATTTCTGTTTTTTTAATTAAACTACTTGTATTTGATTTTCGTTGCGCTATGAAATTCTGCGTTTAAGACTCAGTGGACACCGCAAATGGCCATTGTTGTTGGAGTAAATAATTTAAGATTAACGGATAGAGATTCATCTCATTGTAGGATCTTTAATATAATGGACCATTTTACCTTACGTGAATATATTGAATTTGGAAACAATGGTATGAATTTTTGTTTGTATGAAAATTATTTCTCACACCTATTATAAGTTTATAAGATTTTTAAGTGAAAAATAATAAATTTGAGTATTTTCAAAAATTTTTTGCCGCTGAGACCTTTGCAGAAGTGCCTTGGGGGGATGGCGTATTCATACCGAAAATGTTTGGAACATACGTCGACTACTTTTCCATCGTAGAAATGTGGTTTGAATTTGAATTTGTATTTGATATAAGCTATATCAAATGGAGTTTTGTCTTAAAATTGCCTTATTCGAGGCTGAAAACAAATCTATACACTGAAAGGTTTCATAGTTGAAGCTATAAATACTTTCACACACATACCTGTTGTTTCAGGAATAATGTTTACAGGATTGAGCCACCCGTAAAAGTATTTCAGGTAAATTTGTTCATAAGTTATATTATTATCATATTTGAATTTCAATTTGAGCTTCCCAACAAATGTATTGATTACTACTGATCGACGATCAAGATTATTACTCGATCATCAAGGAATTGAGTTTAATTCGTTCATGTAAAACATGCAAATTTTCAGCCTGATGTGAATTTCATTCTGATGATAGATTACCGAGCACCTACTGGTCCAGTCTCTAGAATACATAATCTTTTGAGCAGTATGTGCACTTTGGAATATGTAAAAATATTTCATATTTCATATAATGTTCACAATAACCACAGGTCTGTTAGAAGAAATCCATTGTTTGTTGCTTTATAATACAAATATATCTCACAGTTCGCGGATGATCCACTTCGGATAATCGGTAATGCCAGTTACATGCTGCGTTTTTTTATTCTGTTCACCCAACTGATATTTCAGATTTTTATTTCCACCAACCTCATCGTTTATAGTTTTTCGAGGTAAAGGCATTATTTCTGCGCATTTTCATATCAACTACACTACTGATGAGCATTTGACGCTTAAACTTCGTGAATGGAAGGTAATTCTTATACCGATTTGTCTTTAGCAGTTTTGACAAGATGCTACTTTTTGATCAGTTGCATTTGATACAAACTGCATGAATCTGTAGATTAATCACAGAGATATTTCTT